TTTTCTCAGATTTGTATTAATCTTTGAATTTAGATCAAAGATAATGAGACAACTGAGTGACTATCAAACACTGCACTCAATGAGAGTTTTATGAACCAAATTATATTCATATTAATGTTATTATTATTGTATTATTATTATTACTGTATTAACATAACACAACACAATAGCAAACAAATAACGAAATGTTTTACTACTCGTAGTCCTTATGAAAAGTTTGTTGTATGAAAGCATCAAAACATAAAATATCGATTTTTCTTGTTATGGCCTTTATTTGTGTCTGTCTTTCACAACTAAAATCTCAACTTTTATGCTTGGATTCAATTTTGAAAGGTTCTTGTTTTTATATTTCACTTTTAAATTCACTTTTATATCATAAATATATAACATTTGGGAGACAAAAGTCGTATTTGTTTTCTCCTTATTTTAAACTCTTTTCTTCCGAAACCACAAATACTTTAAACACTGGATTTAAATGTCTTGTATATCATATTTGTTATTACAGTACTTTTGAAATACACAAATTCAGTACATTTTACAATTGAAATACTGTATTGTAGTGAATATATTGTCAGATATAATTTATATTATTACTACAGTATAATAAATACTGGTATATAAGTTGTAACAAAACTATTACGTTTTCTACGAATTAATTTTTTTATACAATGAGTTGGCATAATGTGATTTATAATATAATTATATATAATTGGTCAATGGATTATCATTTGTCTAAAATTACAGTAAATTAATTATATGATGCCTGTCCCGTTTAATGCCAACCCTTTCATGCAAACCAGGTTTATGTGTAACAAACAATTGAATAGTTCTTTGCAGTACTTCTATCGCAAGGACTGAAAGTGTTTTGTAATAAAATGAAAAAATTTAAAAGTGATTCACTATTTATGCAAAACTAAACATTTGATGATTGGACAGAATTCCCATCAATTTGTGATTAGAATTTCAATTATACGTTGAGATACACATAATTTTGTTGCAATAATTGGTTTAATCATATGTAAGGGTTTCTAACTATGAATTTGATTTTGAATACTGTTTTTTGAGCATATTTTGTGCGAAATTTTGAGGACACAGTTGTTGGCCTTCATTTGGATTCATAATATGGTTCACAATATGGTTCACTCAGTCATACATTATGAGGACAGACGGCAACGATTGTTCTCCATATAAGTTATATATGTTTTATATACTGTACCCGTAGTTTAGGGTATATTCTGTGTTAAGTATGAATTCATGCACTAAATTGAGTCCATTTGATGATCACATCATTAGGAATGTGTTGGCAATTGTTGTTCACATTAAGTAATGATATGACAAAAACTGAATAATACATCAAATCTCTGGATTTCATTTGATTAAGTCTTGCTTACAATACGTATTGTTTTGGCATAACATAACAAATACTGGATTTTTCAAATTATGTTGTACTCGGTCTCAACTCTATTATATTTTATAAACTATTCATTTTTCAGTTTTTATAATCGCATCAGTTTTCATCAAAATATAAGTACACAACAAAAATATTTCAATTTTTTCCAATCCCATCATAACTAATATTAAAGTCATTTGTGATTTGAATGTATAATTGATATACAGGAATACATCATAATGTATTGTAGTGTACAATGTATTGTTTTGATTTTAATAGCAAATTCCATAAACTATTTTGATAATATATGAAATGCTAAATTACAATTTAATCCCGACATTGCATCCAAATACTGTATACTATACATACTATTGTATTATATCCCCAAATGGCTCGACTTTGTGTACATATTTAAACCACAATACAATGCAATCACAACTGGAAAGCAACTCACTCTGCGAGTCCTAATAGTCTGAAAATGAGAGAAAATATGAGAGAATTATGAATGGATGACACGAATGGCTATATTTCCTCTTTAAAAAAATGATGATATATTTATGCCTTCAAATAATGTTAGCTTCGATTCACTCGCATTCACACTAATGTCGAGACGAGATTACAAACAATGACAATATCTAACACTATTCATGAAAACATTGTCGTTTTTTCTCATAACTTATTCTGCTTAACAAATATATGTTTTTATAATGATAGATAAGTCATATCTTTTTAGTTATGCTAACAATATATGGAAAGCTTTTTGTGAATCAATGAATGAATAAGTAATTAGGTTTAAAATCTTGTCTCAGCACTAGACTAGACTTGAATTGCATAAGATATCGATTGCAGTAACTATTGAATGAGACATAAGATATTTTTTTGACATTAGTATAGATTTCTGCGAACTGAGAGTTAAGATCAAAGAGATTTAGTGAATCATAAACTCAAATGATATGATGTGTTCCGTCTTATGTGTGATTTTCTCTCGGCTTATGATCTCTTACGACATTTACTCCCATTCCTCACAAACTATAATAATGTTCATTGAGTTTTGCAAAGAGGGATATGTTCTCAACACTTGAATGTCTTGGAAATGCAATAATAAATGATTGCATTATAAATAACATATGGATTGTCATGAATTGAACACTAAAGACGACCGATTGTCTGATAAGAAACCCCTTTATTATGCATTAGAGTTGTCTGCCTTTGAGCTATGAATTGTGGAAAGAAATTGTTTTTCCGATGAGAGTCCGTCGCAAAGTGGGCGACATTTTAGACATCCTATTGAATATTGTTTGAAAATATTTGATAACGAATTTCCCTTACTTTGCCATTTGAGATACAAAGTAAAAAGTTTGATTATTGATTAAATTATGGCAATAATTGTATAATAACTGTTTCGATGAATTGATGGCACAATAGCAGTGCTTATCTCCTAATTGCTGGTGTCGTCTAATCATATGTTTGACAAATAGTGTATTCATTGTCTGCTGGAACGGCAACCAAACCAAACGGTTAGACATCCATAGAGTTGGTTGAGTGCGGAAATGCAATAACAGTTGTGTTAACCTATGGTTACGCATCAATTGATTGGCGTCTCTGTACTGTCACCACAGCCTCCGTTGTCTCTGCGATGCAATGCCTGTCCAACCAATGAATGCCTGAATGTATTGAATGCACGCAATTGTTTAGTGAAGCACTGGTTTGCCGTTAACTGTCTTATCGACTCATAAGACGTCTGTTCAGCCCTTAATGCAGTCTTTTTCGGTGAAAAATGTCTTCAAAATTGTTTTCAAAATTGTTTGCAAAATTGTTTGCACTTTTCATGCTATAAAAAACTATCGTTTCGTTTAACTGATAGATAGTTATACTGTACTTACGGTGCTTTTGTAGCCCAGAAAATAAGAGCTCTCTTTTTCTCCTAAACACTATCTCAAAGATTTTTCTCAATTGTAATTACAGTTTAAGTCTATTTTTATGAATAAAAGTTGTTCTCATTTATTTATAATGCCATCAGATATACAGTTATAGCAAATTGTACTCTCAATGGTAGAGTAGATGCTGTTCATAATTGATTATACATTATATTAGACAATACAGTGAGACATAAATCTAAACCATAAATGATATTCTCGACCAACACTTATATATCTCATATTTTTCATATCTATTATTATTATGAGTGCATTGTTTGTCTCATATTTTATAGGTAACCGTATTATTACAGTTGTGTTATTTATTGCCTAAATGTATGGTTTGGTATGAAAAGTGGAGAATTGGTATAAAAATAAAACACAATAATTGCGAATAGAGTTATAGTAATAGTAATAGTAATACAGTTATATTGTGTGGAGAGAGTTGAAAAGCAGGAGTTTGTAGAGCATAACCATACGTTTGAATGCTATTGTGAACCAATAATTCAAAAGTCAGACTCAAGAATATTGTTTGACAAACATATTCATTATCACAGCCATTGTTTGTTTTGAATCAACCATTTTAATTAGAAATATGTGTTGAAATGATTATTATGTTTCCTAACCATAACTACGGCAGACATCATCGGTCTAACCGTTAGATTATTTTGTGGACTTAATAAATAAATAAATAATACTTATCTCGACTTTTATTCAATAATAAACCGCAATATAGTCCCTAATCGGACACTATGTTTAGTAACCGTTAGATATAATCTTGGGTTTAATTTTCTGAATAAACTCCACTCAACGGTATTATAGCTGTTAATGCTATCATTAAAATTTTAATGCTTTTTTATATGATGTTAAATCTCATATGAATTTATTTTACATTAAATATAATTTTCATATTCATTTCATTTGAATATATCATTTAAAAGCTTACAGTTCTTGCCTGTACAGTATACGAGTGAGTCATATCATAATTTTGAGTTTATGAATTTGCAATTTTGTAATTATAAACATATTCTCAATAGTTTCCTGTTTTACATAAAAACGAGTTTATGTTTTGCCGATAAGAATAAAAAGTAAAATTTATTTTCCATTGGAGAATATAATGGCATAAATCATAGCAAAAACTCAAACATTGCTTATCGCGACTGCTTTTCATCATTCGTGTGTTCATCACATCCTATTAGCTCTTCTCCAATACATTACATTGAATACAATTTCTGCAAAATTTGCTTATTTTCTGCCTCCAATTTGTGTCCAATATTTCCAGACTCATAGATACTGTTTCTCATTCCCATCTCTACGGCTGACTATCCTATCTATACATTGAATCAATGCATTGGACGACAAGAGTATTTACTTAAGCATAACATGACTTTCGTGACTCTTTCACATCCATTGTATATTATACTGTATAAAAGTATTGTCTTATTTTTAGCACAGTATACAGACTATTAATAATTTTTTATTTAATTTGTTTTCGATTTTCTTTAATCATGATTTTTATGTGAAAGTGTTGGCAAAGATTTTTACATTAAAACAGTATTTCTCTTTTATTGCTAACAATATTACAAATCGATAGAGTCGTGTCCTTTGACGCCCTTTTCTTTAAATAACATATGAATATTAAACACACATTAAATTTTAATATATTGTCTGTAATTCATGTTTGGCAACAATAGGTGTTTGCATTTGATCACTGTTTTTGGTCATTCAATGAATCCGATGCACACTTCGCCAGTCAGGACCAGGTCTTCAACGACTTGGGAATCCCTGTACTCGAGAGTTCGTTTGAAGGCTACAATGCATGCATTTTCGCTTATGGCCAGACAGGCAGTGGAAAGTCATACACGATGATGGGAACGCCTAACGATAAGGGACTCATTCCACGACTTTGCGACTCAATCTTCGAGAGAATCGCCAATAATAGTGATCCGAATTCTAGTTTCAAAATAGAGGTCTCATATATGGAGATATACAATGAGAAAGTGCACGATTTGCTCGACCCTAAGGGCACCAAACAGAACCTCAAAGTACGCGAGCACAATATATTAGGTCCATATGTGGACGGGTTGTCCACTCTAGCGGTCAGTTCGTTCGTAGAGATCGACAATTTGATGACAGAGGGGAATAAGTCGCGAACAGTGGCCGCCACTAACATGAACTCGGAGTCTTCGCGATCGCATGCGGTCTTCACGATCACTCTGACCTGTTCGGTGACCGACACGGCTGTGGGCGTGACGGGCGAGAAGGTGTCCAAAATGAGTTTAGTTGATTTGGCCGGCAGTGAGCGCGCAGTCAAGACGGGCGCTGTTGGCGACCGACTCAAGGAGGGCTCAAATATCAACAAATCGTTGACAACATTAGGTTTAGTCATCTCGAAACTGGCCGATCAGTCGGCCGGTAAGAGTAAGGAACAGTTCGTGCCGTACAGGGACTCAGTGCTCACATGGCTTCTCAAAGACAATTTAGGGGGTAATTCCAAGACAGTGATGGTGGCGACCATAAGCCCCGCCGCCGACAACTACGAGGAGACGCTATCGACTCTGCGCTACGCCGACAGAGCCAAACGTATTGTGAATCACGCGGTCATTAATGAAGACCCCAATAATAGGATCATTAGAGAGTTGAGGGAAGAGGTGGATCAGCTCAGGGCTCAGCTCATGAACGCCAGCCAACAGTCAGACCTTCACGAGAGACTCCTTGAGTCCGAGAAATTGATTAAATCCATGGAACAGACGTGGGAGGAGAAGCTCAGGAAGACTGAGATCATTCATCAGGAGAGACAACAGGCGCTCGAGAAGATGGGTATTTCCGTTCAGAGCTCCGGCATTCGCGTGGAAAATAGCAAATACTATTTGGTTAACCTAAACGCCGACCCCTCTCTCAATGAGCTCTTAGTTTATTATCTCAAGGATAAGACATTTATTGGTCGCAGCGATGCACCGGCAGAACAGGACATACAGCTGTCAGGCATCGGCATAATGTCCGAGCACTGTGTCATTGAAATCAACAAAACGAGTAATGAGTTGTTGATTGAGCCCTTAGAAGGGGCGCGAACTTGCGTTAACGGGTCGGTCATCACTGAGAGGACAGCCCTAAAACACGGCGACCGTATACTGTGGGGCAATAATCACTTCTTTAGGCTCAACTGTCCTAAGCTGACAGACAGTCAACAAACGGATAGACCGATGGGTTATGAGTTCGCCANCTCAACTGTCCTAAGCTGACAGACAGTCAACAAACGGATAGACCGATGGGTTATGAGTTCGCCAGAGAGGAACTAATGATGAATGAGATGGTGAACGACCCCATCCAGGGAGCCATGAAAGCGCTTGAATTGCAGCACAAAATGGATAAAAACAATGCACTCGAGGAACAGAAACAGATGTATGAGAAGCAGCTGAAAAAGTTGGCCAGTTTTCTGTCGCCCGGCACTCCTTACGCCCCTTATAGTTATAACAATGTGTTCGACCCGTACGAGCAGAATAGGTTTGGCGGCTCCACATCCAACCTCATGAGTCCTAATGGGGTGGCCCTTAAGATGGAGAAATGGGCGCAGGAAAGGGACGAACTGTTTAAGAAAAGTCTGAGTCGATTGCGCGAAGACATAGTTCGGGCCAACACTCTGTCCTATGAGGCGAATCTGATCGCCGATGAGATGCAAAAGTGCACCGAATTTAAAGTGACTCTTCAGATACCGGCCGCCAATCTGAGTCCCAACCGCAAGAGAGGGTCGTTTGTGTCTGAGCCGGCATTTCTGGTGAAACGCAAGAACAAAGTGTCGCAGATCTGGTCGATGGAGAAGTTTGAGAACAATTTGATTGAAATGCGAGAACTGTATCAGGAATGGAAGGAAATGCAGTCACAGACCGATGGCGGCGATCAAAATACTGATGACTTGTCGCCTGCCAACGACCCCTTCTATGAGCTCCAGGAGAACCACCACTTGATTGGTGTCGCGAATATATTCCTCGAAGTGCTCGTGCAGGACGTGATGCTCGACTACAACGTTCCCATTATATCACAACAGGGAGAGGTTGCCGGACGCCTACACATAGAGTTCGGTCGCATTTCAGGTCATATCGGCGAACGCATAGCCGACGCCTCGATGGAGACGATGAGTCAGTGCAGTGACAGCGCAGACACCGACGGCCAGAATCGCAACCAAATCGTGGTTCGGGTGAACATTAAGAGCGCGCGCGGACTCCCGATATCGCTCTCCAACTTTGTGTTCTGCCAGTACTCCCTGTTTGGACTCCAGGACTCAACTGTCGTCCCCTCTTATGTGGACACTAAGGATCACTCGAACCCTATTCGTGGCACCACTGAAGATAAGGAGGAATTTGTTTTCTATTTTAATCACCAAAAAGATATCGCAATTCCTTTAAGCGAAGAATTTCTCGAACATTGCACTGAAGGGGCGCTCTCTATAGAGGTGTGGGGCCATCGGGTGTCCGGATTTAGTCCATCAAAGCCCGGGTGGGGTGTCGCCGACGCACAGCTCAAGATGTGCCGCTCTCTGGCCGACCGGTGGGCCGAACTGAAGCGTAAAATTGAATTATGGGTTGAAATCCACGAAATCAATGACAACGGAGAGTACAGTGCCGTCGAAGTGAATACTAAGGCTGATATCGAGTCGGGAGGTGTCTATCAGCTAAGGCAAGGCCAACAAAGGCGTATAGCCGTCAAAGTAGTTCCCGTCCAGAACTCGGGAACACTTCCTGTCATTTGCGAGTCTATTAAATCCTTAGCTGTTGGCTGTGTTTGCGTCAGATCTAAGCTCCAGAAACCTCTGGACTCATACCAAGAGGAAGATCTGACGACTCTTCGAGAGAAATGGACGGACGCTTTGGTGCGACGACGAGACTATTTGGACGATCAGATCAAACGACTTCTTAACAAACCTAATAAGAGTAAGGAAGACAACGAACGCGAACAGAGTCTTATCGACCAATGGGTCAGTTTGACCGAAGAGCGCAATGCAGTCAACTGTCCCGTTCCCGGATCTGACATACCGGGAGCGCCGGCCGATTGGGAGCCACCCGCGGGAATGGAAGGCCACACACCAGTCATATTCCTCGATCTCAACAGTAAGTCTTTACTGTTTTTAATGACTATTTTGTGTATTTTATTATTAATCAAACAGTTATTGTTTTTTCTGTTTTTATCCTATTTTCTCAAACAAAACATTAATCACAGAATATTATAAAATATAATTTATGTTTCAACTCATGCTAAAGCTTATATATACTGAAAATTTTATTTTAATCTCACTGTCTGTGAAATATATTGTTTTTCCAGTTATTAATAGTTAGATATTCTGTTAGAAGTTGTGTCTCGTTTGTATGATAAATATACTGAAATTGTTGGTCTTTGTCATCGATTTTCATACAAAACTAATACTTATCTGTAAAGAGAAGATAAGAAGAATTGTTTGATAACTTTCTTTTCATAGGAATTGAACTGTCAGTGCATTTAATCTAATTATAGCCATTACTTAATGTTTGAATTCTCGTCAAAAAGTATGCTTTTCAATGCTTTCGACGGATTGCAAACTCCAGTAGTTAACACTCACTCCATAACTGTATTGAGTTATTGTAAGTCATATGCAGTAGAGATTGTGAATCGATTTTATGAGACAATCGTTATCTCTATTCAATGATTCTGTAGACTCTCTCAAAGCCTTTCATTTGACAAAAGCTTTATTTTTATGTAATACACAAGACTTTGCATTAGACATGTATTGACTGTTAATTTTTTGCTTAGTTTTTCTTATAGTTTGCCGTCAATTGATTTATGTGTTGGAAAGTAGTGACCATTTAGTGTGAGATTTGTTTTTCTCATTAATTAATAAATCACATCATTGTGTGTCCTATAAATTGTATGAAAATTTATTAAAGGCTTTGCTGTTATTTTGAATCAATACAAACATCTCAAGGCTTTTATGGCATAATAGGCTTATTTAATATAAGTTGCATTCAATGTTTGTAATTATAACATAAATATATATTTATTTATACAATTTATACGATGAAAATCTGGTTTTAACTCTCATTGTGTCGAAAAGCAAAGCAATTATTTATTATTAACGCGTTTTATGAGACAACTTTTTAAATATCAAAAGTTCATGTGTATTTATAAATAACTTATTTCTATGTAATAATTTGTGTTAATTTTAATATAATCAAATTTTAATACAATGTCAGCAAATAGATTCAGAATATTTTATACTGTATATTGAGAAATATGTATATAATATGATGTAATTAACAGAATTTTTAATTTATTATTCAATGATTTAATTATTCACGAGTGAAATGTATTTTTTGAACTTAATTTCTGATGGTTGACTGTTTTGTGAAGATTTTCTGGTGAAATATCGGATTTCATTTAATTTAATATGAAGAATCGGTTAAAATTAATCATTAAATACATAGATATTAGATATTAGTGTTGATAGATGTATGTATTGTAGTTTCAGTGACTTAACACACTTCCTGTTTGTTGTGTTTAATATTTACTTTCATGTAATCGTTAAATAAATGGAAAGTTTAACACAAAATACATTATCGAGAAAATAATCGATTAGTCGTCTAATCGTAGAAATCACTGAAATCTGAAAGATAAATGACAAATGATATTTACTTTTAGATTCATTTCGCGAATATTTATGCGAAATAAAAGTATTATGCCAAATGTATAATTCAATGTTAATGTTAATGACTTGAAAACTTTTGAACAAAATTGCTCTCAAATTATAATCATAATTATAATGCACTGCATATATGACTCATAGCAGTGGCTGCAAAAGCGTTTGATTGTAATGATTGTCTCACTTATGATAGTATTGTCCCCATTATCTCCGCAACTCTGGATGTCTTTGCAGTTTAGTTGAGAAATTTGGAGAAAATTTTGAAATCATTTGAGCGTAAGTTGTAGTTGAGGTCAAAATAATTATAACGAGAAAATTGTTTCGAAATCACTTGGAAATGCAAAAGTCTTTAACAAAAAAAAAAGTGTATATTTTATTCATTATTTCATAAGAATTTCAAATCACGTTTTAAAACACTTTAAATGAATCTCAAGACTATTAAATTGAAATAGTTTTCAATATTATTATACAATATAACAAAAAGTGAAAACCTTCACTTTAATAGCATTTGATTTTGTTTGAAATATTTTAAATTTGAGTTTTATATTTAGGCATATCTTAAGATCTCATTATTACCTATATTTTTACCTAATTTGAAGATTTTATCATATATTTGATTATATTTTTATGTTTTCATTAGACATTTCAATAGATAATACTTAAACTATAAGAAACAATAATTGAATGCTTGTATTCAATGATTGATTTGATGAGTACATCATTGTTTAGTTGAGGAATTGGAGCAAACATTACCATATTTTTGATGACAGACTCTCCATCTGACCTTATTTTCAAACCCTTATCACAACTCTTTTTGTTGAATACGCTAATGAATAAAATAATTAAATGAATAAATTAATTTGATTTAAAATATATAAAGTATGTTGATGTAAAAGTTGATATAGCATGAGACTGGCATTAAAATAGACTTTGTATCCAATTATTAGCGGACGATATGAACATATCGTGCGGACGGGGCGATGAGATAGCGGGCAGTAACTCAATACTGCCCAAAGAGCACAGCGGCACCCAGTTCTTCAATCTGCCGATTGTGAGCCACTGCGACAAAGACGTGTCGTCCACCGGGGTGTGGGACTCATCCATTCACGACTCCCTATACCTCAACCGCATCACTCCTCCCAACGAAAGGGTTTATCTCATTCTCAAAGTATCCGTACGTCTCAGTCATCCGGCGGTCATGGAGTTAGTGCTCAGGAAACGGCTCTCTATTAATGTCTACAAAAAGCAATCACTCACCGGACGGCTGTTCAAAAAGATCGGTCGCACCGACTGTCTGGCGGCAACGGGTCTTACCTACGAAATCGTGTCATCCATACCAAAGGCCAGCGAAGATATCGAAGATCGCGAGACATTGGCTCTGATGGCGGCTTCGGGTCAAGACTTGACTGCTATCGACGGCGAGAGTTATATCGAAAAGTATACAAAAGGCGTTTCGGCGGTCGAAAGCATTCTAGCGCTCGACCGACTCCGACAAGAAGTGGCCGCAAAGGAACTGTTGGCCCGAAAGGGAAAGTTTAATACATCGATCAGTCAGGAGGCGCTCATTCGCAAGACTGCCAGCGTTCCCAATATGGCACAAATGGCTTTCCTTTCGCCCACAATAAGCGGCAGTTTTACTAAATTAGAGAAATCGGACTCTTCTTTCGACTTGTCTTACTTCACAAACACCGCATATGAGGGCTTCGATCGCATCCGACAAAAGGCGTCCACTTATCTCAGTGGCGGATCCAATACCGCACCAAACGCTCCGACAGCGCACATACCCGACACACACAGACCTCTGGCCAACTCAGCGCCCACATCTGCTGCTACCACTCCCAGCGATCCTATGCTTCCCATCAGGAATACAATCAATGGTATTGTGTTTGAGATTCTTATACCTGTATATTATTTCCAATAACTTTTTTGATGTATATCTCGTGTTTGAATTGTGATTAACTGCTAATCAATTGTGAAAATATCTCTTTTTGTCACTTCCGTAATGACAGCCAATCGTCCAAACTTTTTGAACCTTAACTTCAATCTGAATCTAGCGCTTAGACAGACGTCCGGTAAAAGTATGCAAATATACTCTCAATTAGATCAGTCAGGAGGCGCTCATTCGCAAGACTGCCAGCGTTCCCAATATGGCACAAATGGCTTTCCTTTCGCCCACAATAAGCGGCAGTTTTACTAAATTAGAGAAATCGGACTCTTCTTTCGACTTGTCGTACATCACAAACACCGCTTACGAGGGCTTCGATCGCATCCGACAAAAGGCGTCCACTTATCTCAGTGGCGGATCCAATACCGCACCAAACGCTCCCACAGCGCACATACCCGACACACACAGACCTCTGGCCAACTCCGCGCCCACATCTGCTGCTACCACTCCCAGCGATCCTATGCTTCCCATCAGGAATACAATGAATGGTATTGTGTTTGAGATTCTTATACCTGTATATTATTTCCAATAACTTTCTTGATGTATATCTCGTGTTTGAATTGTGATTAACTGCTAATCAATTGTCAAAATATCTCTTTTTGTCACTTCCGTAATGACAGCCAATCGTCCAAACTTTTTGAACCTTAACTTCAATCTGAATCTAGCGCTTAGACAGACGTCCGGTAAAAGTATGCAAATATACTCTCAATTAGTTTTGATTTGCGTTTGGTTTCATTCTGTATATGTTTTTGGTTTAAATTTATGTTTATATTTATTATAGTTTTGCTTTTTTTGTCATTTACTCGTATTTTCAAACTATTTATGAATTATTTAATAATTTATTGTTTGATTGATAGCCTCACCGCTGACCGCTTTGAGTCCCCATTCATCCAAACAACTGAAACCAATGCGAACACTACTGGAGGAACAGTTCAGTAGAGAAGACCATCATTTGTCTGAAGAAAGTGAGGAAGAAATTAGTGACGAAAAAGATGTCGAAGAAGTGGACGAAATAAATATCGATTTAAATGAATCGAAATCTGATGAACACAACTGTGAAGAGAGCGAAAGGCATCGAAATGATAGTAAGGAAGCCAACGAAGTATTAGTTCCCAATTCAGAGCCATTAGCCAGACGTCAGATGAAAGAGTCGGCCACTCATGCGACCGCCGGAACTCCCAGTGCTCTGTCGAGTGGTTACGGCTCTCAGCCGTTGACCAGTACTCCGGCCTCGAGTGAGGACTCGATCTCTTTGTTGTCGGGAAACGTGAGTTACGACGAGACAACTGTCAGTAATAACGATGTGTCGGTCATCGAGAAATTGCCGAATAGTATGAATGGCTTTAAAGATAAAAATGACAAACAATTAAACAAAAGTATAGACAATGATAACAATTATGACAATAGTTTAGTATTAAACGAAAATTCGATCAAAAATACAGACAATTCATCCCAAGTGCCTAACCATTCATTGCTTAATATTGATAATACAAGTGACGCCTCGAGTGTCAGTTCATATGACAGTCGCAATGAGAACAGTGCTGTCAATGATTCACAACTCATGGCATCCCTTCCCGATTGGATGGTTGTCGGCGAAAGTGTGCGGATAAGCCCTGAATCCAAAGTGGGTGTCATTGCATATGTCGGCAAAACAGACTTTGCGTCGGGAATATGGGTTGGGGTCGAGTTGGACGCCCCCACCGGCAAGAATGACGGCTCAGTCAATGGAACCGTTTATTTCAAGTGTAGACCAAAGTTTGGTATTTTCGTCAAACCAGAGAAACTTAAAGTGGATCAGAGAGGACGCAGTCTAAGGGCTGGCAAAACCACTTATAATGACGGTATGTATTGGGATAGCATGGCCTCACACCAACCCTTCCCCCAAAAAGATTATCATTATTATTAAAAATCTATTTTTGTTTCCTTTCAGAGAACTCTCACAATGGAAATCATATATTAAATCAAAACCAATCAAAACCTACGAAAGCATTATTGAGTGCAAAGTCTGCCAAAAAGACTTAAAATAATAACAATTATGACAATAGTTTAGTATTAAACGAAAATTCGATCAAAAATACAGACAATTCATCCCAAGTGCCTAACCATTCATTGCTTAATATTGATAATACAAGTGACGCCTCGAGTGTCAGTTCTTATGACAGTCGCAATGAGAACAGTGCTGTCAATGATTCCCAACTCATGGCATCCCTTCCCGATTGGATGGTTGTTGGAGAAAGTGTGCGGATAAGCCCTGAATCCAAAGTGGGTGTCATTGCATATGTCGGCAAAACAGACTTTGCGTCCGGAATATGGGTTGGGGTCGAGTTGGACGCCCCCACCGGCAAGAATGACGGCTCAGTCAATGGAACCGTTTATTTCAAGTGTAGACCAAAGTTTGGTATTTTTGTCAAACCCGAGAAACTTAAAGTGGATCAGAGAGGACGCAGTCTAAGGGCTGGCAAAACCACTTATAATGACGGTATGTATTGAGATAGCATGGCCTCACACCAACCCTTCCCCCAAAAAGATTATCTAATAATTTTTAGATAAAAACAAAGGAAAGTCTCTTGAGAGTGTTACCTTTAGTATATAATTTAGTTTTGGTTAGTTTTGGATGCTTTCGTAATAACTCACGTTTCAGACGGTTTTTCTGAATTTTATTGTTTGTTAACAATATTTATAGATATTCTATAAATTAGACACAAATGTGAGAAATAATTGATAAAAGTTTTGAATTAATGTCATACTGAATATAAGCTGATTTATCACTGGTTTTGATCCCTTGTCAATGAATTTCGCCTATTTATTACTTTTATTGACTATAAACTATGCAAACATTATAAAATTGTGATTCTTAGATAACAAATTGGATTTGTTGACAAATCCGTGTCTCAATGAATGACTTCCATCTGAAGACTTCTTCCAATTGCTTTCACTTCGAAGACGTGATTATAATAAGACGATTGTGAAGACAATAGACATTCCAATCAATTGTTTCCAAACTTTTTTTAATGGATTTGTTGTGATAAGAGTTTTATTAAAAGGATTTTACATTAATTCGCGATATGTTTGAGAAGCAAAAGTATACCCGAAAACACATTAAGTCTCGTTTTCATACCTCAACGAAACCACTTATATGTCATTCAAACCTGAATTCTTGTTATTATTTGTATTAATTTAATATTTAGTCTATAATTGATTAATTTTATGTTTGTATATCCAAATTTTAAGCTACACTTAAGTATAGGAATTGATCTTTTTTAATTACATTTAATATAATATTTATTATTTTTAAACTATTGACAAATATTTGTAATTATATTTTTATTTTCAATGTTTGATCCATTTTTAATATGTATTATAATTATTAAATTTTCTCTCATTTATATATATTTTTATGTTTAATTGAGTTCAGAGTTTAAACGAAAAGTTTGCTTAAATTTGAATAAAAAATCATGTTTTTACTGAATATGAGTTTAATTTGTCGATTATATTCCAGTAACTAATTGCAATAAAAAGTAATTGTATGTAAAGTATTATAAATGATAATAATAACTAGTGTTTTATGAACCATTAGTTGTAAGCAATGTTTAAACCAAGTGCTCAAACAATTGTTTGTAATTAAATATTTTAAATTCATTAAAGTATCGAATTTTATTTCAAATATAACCAATGAGTGCTTATTTATACCGGGACACCCGTTTTTATTCTAGCTTATAATCATTAATATCGGGGTAAAATGAAATAATAATACATACAGGTATTTACAGTATTTATTATCATACAGTATAAAAGATTGTAGCAAGGTTAGACACAACCCACGGACCCCTTCAGACATCTTATTGTTGAACAGTTTGTGACAATCAGTCTTTAGGTCTTATGTACTCACTCTCGATGTCCTCCACTTCAAGTGAACCGCTCTTTTCGTGAGTGTTTTAATCACAGCCGACATCTGAATGTTGAGGACATTGCGAATCATATTCTCTTCAAATCTCTTATCAGTGAACACCTCTTCATTGGTTTCAATGGTTTCGATGTAGTCTTTGAACACATCCAGAGTTCTCGTCAGCAATTGGTTGTCTCCATAACCGTACGTCTCGATGATCTTTGGCACCAATTGTGAGTCAAAGAGATATAAGACTATCTGTGACTTGATTTGCGCCAAAACAACCAACTCGTGACACATCTGCCAGAAGTTCAACTGAAATGTAACCACAGATTAGACAACAAGTCTTATAACAAAACTTATGATTATTTTATACGCGAATAGAGTGAGGAATCGTAGAACTAATATAAGCCATCATTTTGATGGTCTGATCCATAATGTCAACCACTCTCTGGTCATCAACGGCTGAATCACTTATATTCAGGATATAAGTGATGAGAGCACTGATGTGTCCATCCATTTGCAGTCATAGACACTGAACTCCACATCGATTTCAAGTGATGACAAGTCTTCGACATATAATTGGTTCCAATCATTAGTTCTCTGTTTATTCAGGGCTTTAAAGCGACTCTCCTTTCGGTTTTCCCGATACCATTGGAATCGTTTCACTTTTATGACTGATGTCATTGTCACCACTTGTGGTAACTTTTATCACAAGTCTATACACTTTCGAGAGTGAAGTCAAGTGACTGAACAGAATATGAGAGAAATGACAACTTTTCTGGCATTTTATACTCCGCTTATGACTGACTGTAGCTCTGACTCCACCACTGCTTCAACAGAATTGGTCTCATATATTGACCACACATTGGGATCAGACATGAGAACCACTTTTTGACAGATATGTGTGAAATGATTGGAAACTATAATCCATTCATTTGACAGTACAGTACAACACAACAGCCATCTTCTCAATAGACTCTTTAATTGGGATTTGAGTCGAAAGACTATTTCAAAGCTTACCTCTAATCTGTATGAAAGTACAGAATATTCTGTAGTACAGAATATTCTATACTTCTGTAGTTTTATTTCTTAAAATACAATTTTAGTGTCATTTATCATATTCATGAAAACTATATCATTAGCAATGATTCTTTACATTTGCAAAATATGTCACAATTAAACTAAACATTCAAATATAATCTCATGTTATAATTCAGTGCCATGCTCAAATAAACTTATGCCAATTAATGGCAAGTTTTCAAACTTATGTCTCTGTCTCTGTATGACTGCTGGGAATGACTGCCAAATAGTGCCAATTCATAGAACCAAACCTCACTACAAGTGAACAAACAGTGGGAATATAGCCACACATGTGAGGCATCACACGATCACATGTTATGAATGTTATGCTATTTGTTTGATTCAATCATTTGTCACTCAATTGTCTCTTTAAACGATCGCTAAGTCCTTACAACTGATCCCAACTGAAGACAACACACAACTGAACCACAAATGAGTGTCCGATATATAGCGGCCGGCTTTCGGCAGGACATGGAAGCGCTGT